GAACCAGGCACCAGGTCAGAGGTTAATCCAGGTTTTTGTTGTTACTGTTTTATCTGTAAAGCCGACGAGAGGACTAAGAGAAACATGCAGATTTTTGGACCTCTCCACACATGTATTTCAGAATCTCTAAGAGTGAGGTCTGGGATTCTGAATATTCATAGGTTCCCAAGATGATTCTCTTGCACATTACAGTTGGAGATAAGCAAATTAAAGACTCAGGAGACTTGGGACTCATGTCTTAAGCCTGATCAGTTCTATGCCAGCTAATAGGCCCCAGACATATTCAGGCAGATTTCTGATATAAGAAGTAGGAGAAGGCACTCCTGTAATCCCAAGGATTTTGGAGGCTGAGGCAGGAGGATGGCAAGTTCGAGGTCAGCCACTATCAAGACCCTAAGCAATTTAGCAAGACGGTCTCAAAATGAAAAGCTGGGGCTATACCTCAGTGTGGCAAAAAAAACAAAAACAAAAACAAAAAACCCAGCAGCACAAGAGATTACTATTCTCAACCTCACGATGTAAAGTCTAGAAAGAGGAACCGGCTAAGAACAAGAGGCAAGGGCTTACAATATGCTTCCTCACCAGTTAGTTGTGACTAATAGCAAATTTACCTCTCGGGGACCCTGCATCTGCACACAGACGACCATCTCATCCCCTAAGCTCCAGAATCACAGATGTGAGGCCCAGGCACAGTTTAGGCGCTCACGGAGTGCTCCCGGATGCGGGAATCTCGGGAAATGAAGGGCCACAAGGAGGCCAGACCTCGCCCACGACCCCCATCTTCGCAGCCGGGTCCACCTGGGTCAGCGCGCCCCTCCCGCTGCCCCCCAGGGCGCGCAACGCTGGGGCTCCCCGACGGCAGGAGGGCGCCATTACCCGTACGCGGCCTTGCGCCCAGCCGTGGGGACGTAAATCTTGGGCATCTGAGGCGAGAAGAGCAGCCGCGGTAGCAGCCCGCCTCGGCAACACAGCCTCACCACCATGTTCCTCTGTTGCGCCGCCCTGGAAACGCGCATGCGCAGGACCTTATGCCCGTCCCTGCTAGCCCCGCCCCGTCCGCCACGCCCCCGAGGCGCCCAGCTGTGCCGGGCCACACCCCTCGACACCAGCCTCGCCCAGCTTGTGTTGGTGTCCTGCGCCAGCCCGCCACGCCCCGCACACAGCCTTTGCCTGAGACTGGATCTTTTCTTAAGGGCTCTCTCTGGCCCACAGGCACGAGGTCCCAGTCTATGTCACCTCCTCCTACCTGTTTGCTATAGTGATGACCAAGGCCCCTGGGGAAGTGAGGTCACTGGCCATCCTGCCTTCACCTGGTGGGCACCAAGGTCGAGCTTCTGACGGATTAATTATTAATTAATTAATCCCTGCTGCATAGCTGGTGCTAAAGGTGAGATGGAGTACGTTCTCATTTAGGGATGGTGGAATCTAATGTTTTTTTTTTCTGTAAGCCATTTATATCCATTAAGATATTACTATTTAAAAAAAAAAGAAGTTCGTGTTGCTCAAGATGTTGAGAAATTAACATTCTTGTCCGCTGCTGGTGGGAATGCAAAATGGCTCAGCTGCTGTGGTCAAGAAGATTTCGGTTCCTTAAAAAAGGTTAAATAGAGAATCACCCTATGATCCAGCAATTCTGTTTTTGAGTATACATCCAAAACAACGAGGGCTTCAGATATTTGTGCACCAGTTTTCATAACAGCATTATTCACAAGAGCCAAAAAGTGAAAGCAACCCAAGTGCTCATCAACTGACTAATGGATAAAATGTAGTGCATCCATGCCATGGAATATTACTCAGCTTTAACAAGGAAATATATTTTTTTAAACTGGTTCTTTTTATACATGACAGCAGAATCCATTTTGATATAATTATACAAGCATGGAATATATTTTATTTTTAGTTAAGAGTCCCATTCTTATGGATGTACATGGTGGTGGGATTCACTGTGTTGTTTGCATGGTACATGAAAAATTGTCAGATTCATTCCACTGTATTTGTTTATGCCCCCTCCTTCCCTCTATTTCTCATTGTCGAATCCACTTAACTTCTATCCCCCCTCCCACCTCTGCCTCTTATTTTGGGTTAGCTTCCACCTATCAGAAAACATTCGACCTTTAGTTTCTGCTTTGGTTTCTGGGGACTGGCTTACTTCACTTAGCATGATAGTCTCCAGATCCTTCATTTGCTGGTAAATGTCATAAAGCTATTCTTCTTTATGGTTAAATAATATTCCAGTGTATTTGTACCACATTTTCTTTATTCATTTGTTGAAGGGCACCTAGGTTGGTTCCATAGCTTAGCTATTGTGAAACTAGCTGTTATAAATTGTGATGTGAATACATCACTGTAGTACATTGATTTTAACTCCTGTGGATAAAAGGAGGAGTGGGATAACTGGGTTAAATGGTGGCTCCATTCCAAGTTTTTTGAGGAATTGTTATACCGCTTTCCAGAGTGGTTGCACCAATTTGCAATCCCACAATGTATAAGTGTAACTTTTTCTCTACATCTTTGCCAACATTGTTACTTGTATTCTTGATAATTGCCATTCTGACTGGAGTGAGATGGAATCTCAGTGTGATTTTAATTTGCATTTCTCTAATTGCTAGAGATGTTGGACATTTTTTCATATATTT